TAATCGTCTGTTTGTGAAATAGGGGGTAGAAATTTCTAGAACATTCAAGAGCATTCCACAACATTCCAGAATGTTCCAGGATGTTCTGGAATGTTCGGGAACATCCCAGATCATTGTGGAACATTCCAGAGCACTCTCAAAAGTTGTGGAATGTTCTGTAACATTGTGGACCATTCAAAGCCTTTTTTGTATGGGTGGGACTACCCATTGGTTGGTGGGAGTATATAAAGCAAGATCCGTTGTGGGTTTGAACGTCAGTTTCTTATCAGTGACAAAGGGAAGAACCGAAAAAGTGAAAATTTGGAATTTTCACTTCTTTTTCATTGAAGTTGAAATTTGGTATACAGGGTACTGTACATCACGAGAATGCACACTAAGAAGGGATTTTTGTAAATTTCCCCCATAGGGGAGAGGGAGAGGATTAAGGCTTACCCTGAAGAACTTGACTTCTATTGTACTATTTTAGATGCGGTTTTTTGCATTTTTTACTGCGTTTTAGTACACTATCACATTTAGTAGGGTACCATGGGGGATGGAAGAAGTGCATTCCTTAACAATGGCAGTGTTAAGTAACAATGGAAGTATTGAGTAACAATGGAAGTGTTAAGAGAAAGCGGTGTGCAAGGTTTACAGGCGCAGATGTGGTTTTTTGCGTTTTTGTGAGAAATCAAACATATTTTTAGACTCATGTAAAAATTCTCTAATGAAACAGGAGATGTAATTTTTGCATTCTGTGAAAATGGGTAAGATTGGCTATAATGTGATTATCTTAATCTTCACTATCATTACTTTTTTCCCAAGCAACTCCGGGCTTATCTGCTAGTTATGAATAGTTGGAAATCAATAAATTGTTGCGAATGTTTAAAACTATGCTCAAAATATAAGTACTAATGGCTAGTATCATAGAAAGTATCATAAAATTCTTTATAATTGTGCAGTCTTTTCTGGATGAATGAAATTTTTGAGTTATGCTATTGTGAGTTCAAAATGTTACATTTCTTATATCAGCAGCAAATCTTAGTATTTTTGTCATTTCCAAACCATAAATAGATACAAACATACATACAAATATATCTTTATATTCTTAATCCAAAAAGGATGAGCAGCAGGAAAAAGGAGATTACAATCTTATGAACTATCCATTTAGGAACTTACTCCACTCTCCACACCTTCCTGTTCAGACATACTTCCTTTACTTCAGACATTTCATACTCTTCTAGCACATATCTCACATTCTCTTTCTGACTCAACACCTTATGTTCTTTTAGATACTCATGCTCTCGTTTTAATCAAGACTTTCTCAGTCTTCCTCTATTGCACTTCCCTATCCACTTTCCCATATAATTATACTCTCATCAACAGTTGTTCTCCTTTCTTTCTTTCAACATGACTGATTTCCTCATCTTCACAACCACATTCTCTTTCACCTCACACTCTTACAGCAGTTCATTTTTCACAATGTCTCCTTGTTATGCCACACACTCCTCTCAAATATTTCATATCACATGCAGCAATGTGACTCCTGTAACTCTTTTTCCATACCCAAGTTTTGTTACTGTATACAAGAACGGGAACCACGACACTAGCATACACAGCCATTCGTTCCTCCTTGGACATTCTTTTATTTGTTTCATATCTACACATTGCACCCACCACCTGAGCTCCAGCATTTGCTCTTCTGATGATTTCACCATCTATCCTTCCATTACTATCTATCATGCTTTCCAAATATACAAACTCATTCACGTGCTCTAGTTGTTTGCTATCCAGCTCAACCATGCAATCTGTTTGCTCATCTTTGTATTCAAACATAATCACTTTAGTTTTACTCACATTCACTCACAGCATATATTCCTCACATGTCTCTTCAAGACTAGACACGAGTGCCTGAAGATCTTTGCTCTCTGCTAATAGCACAGTGTCATCTGTATACAACAAAGGACAGACTTGTACATTTTCAATTTTCATTCCACACTCAGGTATTCTGGATCTCCTCATGCATGCATCCATGAAAATATTAAACAACCATGAGGACATAACACACTTTGTCTCACACCCTTCTTGGTCGACGTTCGAACCCACAATAGATCTTGCTTTATATACCCCCACCAGTGGGTAGTCCCACCCATACAAAAAAGGCTTAGAATGGTCCACAATGTTCCAGAACATTCAACGACATTCAAGAGTGTTCTGGAATGTTCCACAAAGACACTTCACCATCCGTGCCTACACATGCTTTGCTGTTGCATACATTGATCTCATACCTGTAAATAGTTTACTTCTCACTCCATAATCACATAATACTTGCCAGTTTCTTCTATTCACTCTATCTTATGCTTTCTCTAGATCAGTGTTTTTCAACGGGGGGCGATATCGCCCCCATGTGGGCATTTTTCCATGTTCAGGGGAGATTTGTAACAATTTATATTTTGGGGGGCGAAAAACAACTTTCTGGGCGATATAGTAAAATATTATATTAAGAATAATTAGATATTTTATTCGTTATATTGTATGATAATTAAACAAATAACATTATACTAGTCAATAGTCTATTCAATGCAGTACGAATTTGATGTTAGCCTTGGCCCTCAGTATCGGAATTTTGAAGTGAAGGGGGCGATACTACGTAACAGTTTTATTGAAGGGGGCGACGATTCATTAGAGGTTGAGAAACACTGCTCTAGATCAACAAACACTGTAAACATTTTTTACCCATATTCAAACATTTCTCCACAATCATTCACAATGTGAAGATCTGGTGCATACACTTCTTCCCTTTTATAAATTCACATTGCACTTTCCATATTTGCTTTGCAGTCAGCTTCTCAACTCTGTCAACCAACATTTGTGCAAACACTTTTCCAGATATGCTCAGCAAGCTTATGCCACAGAAGTTCTTGCAGTCTCTTTTGCATTTTCCTTTGTATATTGGAACAATCGCAGCATTTCTCCAATCACATGGCAATTTGCTCTTATCCCAACGTAAGTTGCAGAGTCAGAGCATCCATTCTTCCACATTTTTTCTCTCCATATTTTAACAATAACAACAGAACAATAACTTGACCTCTGGTTACAAACTTGAGGATGACCGAGATTGTGGTCATCCTCAAGTTTGTAAGTTAGTAGTCATTAAAGTTCATGTTACTGTGTTATAAATGTTCTAGAGTGTAGATTACAGAACAATAAAAATACATGTTTTCACTTCTGCTTTTAGTCTCTTTTATATATTTTTATTGAAGTGTAAATTCATCAGCCATTTTTAACAATACAAACTTATTATTTCACTATTATATAAATAGAATAATTAATAGTTACCGTACAAGTAACAGTGTGTCGTTAATACATATATAATAATAAATAAATGTATTTATATACAATACATATATAAATTGTATGACTTAATTGGTTATAAAGTAAAATATGAATGTTTCCAATAAATAACAATCATTTAAAAGTTATATGGAACATTTCAAGTTAGACTTGACTTCATGCTGACAATGAGTCTTAAGAAATGATGTATGATCGACAATAAATGATTCAGTAAAATGTTTACAATTAGGTATTAAAGTAACTATTAAAATACATTGTTCTGCTTATGGAGTTAACAACGAGATCATCGGTGTTATCTTTATGATCGATGATGGGCACAGAGTATACTCCTGGAAGTCTGTTGTTATCTGGACCGTCTTTTCCGCTCTTAAGCCAATTGAATATTGTAGCGCACCTCCTAAATGCCAAGCGGACTTTTTTTTTTCTTATCTATCTGGTTGTATATGGTCCTAAGTGTCGGGTCGTACGTGACTGGTATGAAGTTAACCAGGAAATCATTGGGATCGAGAGGTGTTGTTGGAGTACCTTGTTTATCTTGCGTAAGATGTTATGATAGCGATGTTGTTTAGCTATTTGTTCTATGCGTCGCATTTCCGAACTGAAAGCTGTTTGTGACGAGGAATGTGAATATGCTCTTTTGATTAAGGTCTTAAACGCTGCCGTCTTGTACTGTGGTGGGTCACAGGAAGTTGCAGGTATATACAAAGGTTCGGCGGTTGGTTTATGATACACTTCTGTGTTGATGGATGATCCCTCTATTTTGATGTTAATGTCTAAGAAGTGCGCCTGGATGGGGTGGGCTTGGTCTATTTCCACCGTTAATTCATAGGGGTTATCATTGATGGAATCGATTAGCGCCGGGATATTCGGGATCTTCTCCCATAGTATAAGGATGTCATCAACGTATCTTTTGTAGGGTCTTTTGACTCTCACCATCTCAGTTAAGAGTTAAAACTCATCCTTTCCTTTGCACACTTTTAAACAATGAGTTAGAATATTCTAGCTCATTGCCTTTATACAACACAAATGGTACGCTCTCCTGGTGCTATTTGTGTTGTGTAAACACAAAATGGAACCCGTGCTCTAAATGGAAGGAAAATGGCGGACGTGCATTCAATTTTCTTCCAATATGGTATCGCTACAGCCATTCTACATAGTATATTCTAGCTCTTCGAACCCATCTCTATCCTCAAAATTAAAGCTTTTTTTTTCATTTTATAATAATTCATAATACGAAAAGTTTTTAGAATAAAGTCTCGTAATAGATGGCGCCATACACAAATTTATTTGTTGTGATTAGTAATTTAAAAGTTATTTTTACATAAAATCTCATAGCAGCCGAGAAAGTTAGGCAACTCGTTGCCGAAGTTTTTTTGTCTTTCAAATATAAAAGCGCTTTAGGCAATTAAAAAAATAATCTGTTGGCATCGAAACTACTATCGTACGAAATACGACTCACAACAAAGCGAGTCAGCACGGAGGTCAAAACTAGACGTAACGGAGGAATATATCTATGGGTTATATCACAGATTTGATTTTTCTCCCAACACGCGATATTACGAGGGGCTATTGTATTCGAATTTTGTTAGAATGTTTTATCGAAATTTTTTCGTTTCTATCGTTTACAAATGTACTTTTATTACGATTAGTTTCTATATTTTGAATTTCAGATAACGATCTGTATTGTTTCGGTGGAGAACACGTGATCGGTTCGGGGCACTGGAACAAGACTATTTGGAAATGCGATTTACGAGACGGGACGTGGAGAGAGGTGGGAAACGTGGAAAACCCTCGTAGACACTGCCCCATCGCCGTTTTAGACAAAAGAGTATATTTGGTGGGAGGATACGGAAAATTTCGTAAGAGACTGACGACGGTAGAATGCTACGACACCAGAACGGGTACGTGAGTCTTTTCTTTTAACTTTTCGGGTGGTTTTAGTCCGACTTTATTCGTCTTTTTATTCTTTCAGGAAGTTGGCAGACCAAAGCGGACCTCCCCGCTCCCGTTCATTCCTCCCCCGCCGTGGCGTTCGACGGTCGCATCTACGTATTTTCCGTGCCCGTTTATTGCTACGTGCCGGCCACGGACGAGTGGAAAGAAGCGTCCCTTCGGACGGAAAACGGTTTCTCCGCCGCCTTCGTCTTTAAAAACAGACCTTACGCCGTCACCCGAGGGGATCGAGCGGCTCTACTGCGTTTGACTTTACCCGACTCGGAATGGCACAGGGAATTTGTTTTTCCTACTCGAGTGGACTGCGGATGTCTTTGTCACAACTACTTCTACGGTTTCAACGATAATACGGTGGTGGTCTACGATGTGACCAGGAGGACGTGCCAGACCAAACAGATCAACGGCCGACTTCGTTCCGAAATGTGTTCTTCTCTACCAAATTTTATAAATTAGACATTTTATAATTTTGTAGTCGATTTTAAACGAAAAATTTTTACCTTCGAAATAAATACTACATTTTTTAAATTTATATATATGTATATACATAATAGATAAATTTGTTTTCCCTTTACCCTTTGAACTCGTCGCGTGCGATCGGTACTACAGATATTCTCTTGACAATGTAGAGTCTATTGTTATGTTATTGTCTAAGTTATGGCTATTGTACGGATTGCAGAAAGAGGAAAATAAGCAAAAGTTTCGATGAAAAAATATATTTTATAATGATAAACATTTTCCAGTTTGCTTTTTATTTCTGTGTACGCATCCGGAAATGTAAATCCTGTTACCAAGAAGGTATTATACTATGTGAACGAAGAATATTTATCTACGTGATTTATTACTTGATATCTGTTCATGTATTGTGTCATGGCAAATCAAATTAGAAGTTTTCAATAGATACGTGTGGATCTGTTTATAAGCATTAATGTCACTTTGAAAAGTTCTAGTGACTAACGACAACACGCAATGCCTCAAAGACGACAACGAACTGCGTATCAGAAAATAATTCAGTTTGAATTAGGCCGCGTGGTAGGCCTTGAAAAGGTGGATTTTCGTTGAGTGAGATCGTGGAAAGAATGAGTCGAAAAGTGTCCATTGCTTACAAGTGTTGGCAGCGATGGTCCAGGGAAGACACTACTATCAGAGGACCGGAGTTGTCTATGTGCGGAGAGAAAAGATCCGCACGTAGGCAGATGCGCCATCGATGATGTCGCGCAAGAGTGATTGGAAGGCAGAGTGGAATTTTTCATGTTCACAGACGAGAGCCGTTTTTGCCTTAGTATCGGTGATAGACTTGCAGATCAGGAGGCCTGCAGAACGTCTATTGGAAAACAACATCCATCGTCGGCATACTGGTCTTAAACATTATAGTCTGGTGGGTTATTTCTTACGATAACGGGGTTCCACGTGTTAATCCCGAATGCCGCACTACCAAACGTTCACATCAACGGCGACCAAACCCGTTTGTTCTGCCATTCGTCAACAGTATTGAGGAGGCCCGTTTCGACGGGATAATGCTCGTTCCCGTACTGCAGCTACAACCCAACACGCTCCCAGAGACGTGCCCACCAGCGGCCAAGCGGTCTTCGTACCACAAACACTGGCCAACCCCGACGGGCTGGCCACGTAGAGTTTTCCGGGTTTTCTCCACGTCTGTAACGCCTAAATAGAAAACCAGTTTCCCTTAAAAACACCTCCCGGAAGGCAGATCGCCCAAGTGTTGCGTTGCCATAACTCAAACCAAATCAAAACCCAGAAACGTCGAAGTGTTGCCCCAACAGGCAAAATCAGATCTTTAGGTAGACCTACAACGGTCGACCGTTGCAAGATCTACCTAAGGGACCCTATAGGGACGGCAGTGGGTATGGAGAAGGATGACATTTAACTTTCACGTGATGCACGCACATTTTGTGTTATATTCTCGAAACTCATCAGTGTAGTAAATCACGCATATAAATGTTGTGTGCAATTTTCGTTTATCTAGCACAACTCCTTGGTGTTAGGATTTCCATTTCCGGCAGTGTATATGTATAATACTGTGAAGATCACCAGTTCCCCCTCCAAAAATTGTTGTAATTGTGTGTGTGTATATATATATGTATTTGTGAATTGTTATTTACATTATCTGTAATGATTTTAGTTTAATCACTTTATTCTAATCTTTTTCTAATAATGTATTCGCTTTAATTAATTAGTTAGAAATTTTATTGTATTTTAAGCTCTACGTATAATTTATATTTTTTTTTCCTTTGAACCCACATCTCGAAGATAACCGAGATTGTTTATATATGGACCAAAGTTGTAAGAGGAAATTTGCCTAGTTTTTCGATTTTAGAGACTTCCCTATAGAAATTTCTAATATCAACTTGGAATAATTTAGAGAAACGAATTAGAATAAGAAGTTTATTAATTAGCATCAATAAATCTCACAACATGCGAGGAAAAGACGAGAGGGCATTTAAGTAATTAAATTAATTTGTAAAAGAATAAAATTTAAAGGAAGTGGAAAAACACCACTTCCCGTTTTTCCCCTCCCCGCCGATCATAGCGGCGATCGAACACCGTTCCAAGGCACGAGAAGTACGATGCATAACAGTAACCAAAACAATCGATGAATAATGATGGGAACTATCAATGATGACGTCCGCGGAGTTCGGCGTTATCACTATCTAAAGTCAAGAAAGATTAAAACTGTTTTGCTACGGCAATGACTCGGCACGAAAGTCGAACCAATAATAATAGTAAATCACACGATGACTCTCCTGCGCTGAGAGGTGTGTAAAAGAGGTCCAAAATCCAGGAATCGGAGAGCTCCTCTGCAGACAACGGTAGAAAGCAACGGCCTCGCCAGACTCCCAACGAACGAACCATCCCACACGAGGAAGGCATCAACGGCGGACATCGACAGTAGACTTAAGTGGACCCGTCCCGTCATAACCGCGAGGAAATTTCGACTAGAAGCGAACGCCATTTACCGGCGGACACCAAGAAAAACGGAAGAAGGAACTAGATCAAGAGACTGACCAGCCAGCCCTACGAGTGAAGACGGCTCCCTTTCTCCTGGTATGTTGTAGTTCGAATACCCCCCTGTTAGGCAGTCCCTCGTTTTATAGATAGAAATAGGCAGATTTCTTGAATTGGATTTTAATTAAAAATATTATCCAGAACTTAATTTTCGATGTTAAACTCTTGTTGTTTGTATTTGACTCCGCATTCATCCTCCCGAGAGGCTCTTTCCCGGAATTCGGAGTGACTCTTACCCTCGCGCCTTAACTATCTATTTGTGTCAAAATCGGCGGTGTGTCCGAAAAATACGCCTGGTGGCAGGACCTACCCTAACTTAACGTAATCTAACTTTTGACGGGCCGACCCTCACAATACATATCTATAAAATTCAACCCGAACAAAAACATTACGTCCACACAGCGACCACGTCGGAAAAGAGTGCCGTAACCCTTCCGAAGAAGCGAATTTAATACAAAAACATCGCTTTCCGGTCAAAAGTGCCGGAAGAAAGGATCTCTCGGGACTCCAAACAATGTAATTTGTAACAGATATTAGGCCAAAAATATTTGAAATTAAATAAAAGAACTTAGGCACAAAAATATGAAAATTATAAACTTGTTTTAAATTTTGTATTTTTTTGTTAACAGAAAAAATATAAACTTATCTGAACACGATAGAAATTTTCGCTTTTACCATTTCATGGTTTGCTTAATACGAACATCGTTAATAAAATTTTTGTCCGTTCGACTTTGTTTTAACGGATTCGGCTGTAATATAGTCCCGTTGGCAATAGATATTAGAAGAGACGACACGAACCTCGGTCTACTATTAACAATATAGGGTGATTCTGTAATGGTGTACGCATGTACAGTACTTTAGATAAATCAAAAAATTCTCCATAAAATTTACTTAATTTAAAGAATTAAAACTCGCTGGGAAAATTGTTTTTCATAACATTTAAAATTATTAACATCTAAGTGATAAAAATTCCGACCGATTTTCGGAGTTAAAATCTTTAATATAATAATAAATATAGTTTTGTAAAGAAACGTACACAAAAATAACATAAAATATTCTTTACTTTTTAAATCTTAAAACAATCCACTTAGTCAAATAGCTCCTTACCAGTGGCTAATGGATGGAATCATAGGAAGGGTTAAACGATATTTTGGTGTGTAGCATAAACGCCACGAACTAAACCGCCAGAGGTTGGTGCTCTGTGAAGCGAATGCGTATAATCTGGCTGCTTTACACCATTCAAATATTTTGGCCGTGCAAGCTGTTCCGTATTCCACAATACGGCGCTTTCGTCGGAAATACGCGTATACGAATTTATATTCGAATATACAATAGCAATCTTATCGTTGTTTTTTACGTGTATAGAAATTTGTAATAAAATACATAACGCGGTTATAATAAAATATTAAGTAATTCAAAGAACGCTAAGACATGAAAATAATCGCGCGATATGTATTTATATTTTAAAAAATACGAGGGAAGCGGCGCTTCCACAGTTTCCGTGGACGGCACGCCACTGCTATATTCTAAAAAACACATTGTTGATTGGTGTTACTTCAACGCATTCTTTAAAATGCGTCGATGTAACAACACTTTAAAATCGGAAGGCCCGGGATCGAAAAATCCCCAGGAATTTTTCGGGGTGGTCCGTCCGGATGTGTTCGGCACCGCCCCTCGCCATCCGGTCGCCCCGTTACGGGTCTGGCCGTACCCATAATGGGTTTGCAAAAAAGAGGCCCTCTTAGTGCCCACGGGACGGAAAGTGTTAAGATGACCTTAGAATAGGTTGAAAACGTTAGTTTTAAATAAATAAAACTATCTCGGCAACGGAAAGGTGGTGTTATAATTGTGTAATATAATTAACGACTTGGCGGAAAAAATTGCCGAATAGAGTTAGTTTATAAAAAAATAATAAAAACGAGTTCTTATATCTTTGTTTCGTGTCAATTATGTATTTTAGAATCAAAATAATAAACTGTTTATTTTTGTCATTTCCAGTATTTGTTTAAAACTTTTATGGAAACACGGCTACCCTATCATCAAATGTCACCGCACGCTACTGGAATATACTTATTTTTTCTCCTAGAGTATTTCTTACCAATTTAATCATATGACTAGAATAAAATAAAAACAATGTACGGTACCACTAACGGAATGAACAAGAAACTAGTAATTGACACAAACGTGCGAAATGTGATACCAGATAATATTTTAGATGCTCTGTCCGTACAACCATATAAACCGAACGAGTAGTTATAACAAAAATTTCCGCCTACGGTAGATAAAACTGTAAAAGTAGTAGAGTATTCGCGCGGATTCGGGCCAAACCAATCGAGATAGTTTCGGATGCCAAAATATGGCGCGAGTAGTTCACACGGCGTCCGCTGGGGAATGAATTTTAAACGCGGAAGGCGCCTCCCATTCCTCCGTGTCGTTGTGTCGTATACAGGCCTTCGGGCGCGCCGCCAACCGAGAAAGGTAGAGACACGGATTAGAGAGTTTGTTTGTTTTATTAGGTGGGTAGTATCGGACGAGGTGCTTTCAGCAAGGCATCCCCATCAAGCTTTGCGATTGATGGGGATGCCGGTATGGGCGGGGACCCATACGAGATGGAATTCGTAATCGCGACGGGGCTGGTGGCTAATGGCCTCCGCAATGTCGCGGACGATAGCGAGGGAAGAGTCTGAGAGATGCGAGAGGGCAGACGGGATGAATTTGGAATCGGTACAAATGGAAATATTGGTGCGATTGGCGGGGTGTAGAGGATTGCTCGAAAAGTGGCGACTCCTTCGGCGATAAAAGTACTAACCAAAAAGGAAAGAAACACTAAGTAAGAAGTTTTCCAAAAATATTTTCCTAATTAATATTTCTTTTTTATATTTATTGTGTCGCGTCTTCTATTTCTATACTGCTTAGGAATTAGCGATCACGTAAGGTGGGGATTTTATGGAATTGGCATTAAAAAGTTTGTTATCCGTTTAAATCGATTACCTCGAGAGCGCCACCGACACCGTACGTATTTTGTTTCGGAGATTCGACATTGTCAGCGATTTTATTAGCGAGAAGTGGGAAATTAAATAAATTGAAGAAAATGCAACTGCCAAATTCGGGAGAAAATTTTTTTATAATCACTAGCTAATATTGGAGATTTAGCTAATGAATTTTATTCGATTAAGTACAGTACTCGCAACATTTTGCTTAATATTTTAATGCGCGGCTACTTTTATTTATTTACTTTTTTTACCGTTTATTGTTTTTAATAGGGTTTCTTTTCGTTACGAATGTGGTGATCCGGATCCCGTAAGAATAAGTTCTGTAACAAATAATGAATAAATAAATTCGAGTTTTCTGAAACAATTTATAAAACGGACCTTGATTTCGTAATTCAGAAAATCCAAAGACGGAAATAGTCGCGCTGTTTGAAGTTAAAATATGGGTACGGTTTAAACGTACAAAATAATTTCTTTAGGTAGTAAAAGTAGGAGAAATCATTTTATTTATCACGACTCGCCGAACATATTTTTGGAGAAAACGTGCGTGCCGTTAACAATCGACATTGACTTATTAGCTTAATTAGTCGTTCGGGCCACCCACTGGGTCTGGGCCCGCACGACGTAATGATTTGACGTCATAGTTAAAGTTAAATCTATCCGCACGAAAATCGACGATTTCGGCAGACAAAGTCGTCCGATGCATTTCCACGCGAAATTATTTCCGGTTATTCAAAAAATTAATTTAAAGTATTTTATTATACGAAAATACTTATTATGCTATTAATTGCTTTAAATTAAATATTATATATATACGTATATACTTTGTTATTTTTTTTCGAAATTAAAACGAGAGGCCAGTATTCTTTCTCCCGTAGAGGGCGCGGTAGTGATGTTTTGACCCAAATTGGAAATTTAAAAATATAATTCAAAGTTTAAAATCGAAGTAATATATGTAAATTAGTCGGTGAATACGTTAATATTTGGAATTAACGATGAAGTCGATTTCGTATTAAAGTAAGTCACTTTCCTTAAACGTACAGTATCGACCCGAAAGTTCTGCCAACGGCGGAATTCGTTCTGTCGTCGTTTGAATTTTGTATACGAAACGGAATTAGCGTGTATCGAGAATTTCTTATGCGCCGTGGCATACGTAATATTGATTTGTGCAATGATTTGGAAGGAGATGGAAGTCGTAGAAACGTTAGTCGACCTGCCATCCAGTTCTTCGGATCGCGGGTCGACAAACGTTTCTACCACTTCCCACAAAAGTGATTTTAACCTCAATATCTCTACATTTATTGAATCGTTCCATATTTATTAAACGAATGTGTGTTAATTATAATTTTTCGTTTGTTTCTAAAAGTACGTGTATATTTTCCGGGGTCTTCTTCTAGAAGGTCGACGACTACCGGTCTCTTCGAGTTCTCCTTTTCGCTTTCCCGGCGAGGTCTTCCTGGCTTGGTCGACCCGGTGGGTTTCCGTCTTTCCCTACTCCTTTCGCCTTCCGCCTCTACCTCCGGGAGATCCCTCGGGAAGGAATCGTCTCCGACCCTTCTTCGTTTCCCTCCGTTTTCCTCCGGGTACGCGGCATCTTTCGGAATATCCGCGGGAGTCGGGTTTCCCGCCTCTCCGGACCGTCTGGGAAGGACTTTCGGTCGATTTCGGTTCTTCTCTCGACCTCTCTCGGATGCTTCCCGGATGTCCGAGTGCGCGAGACTACTTTCTCGTCGGAGAGAGACGTCCGGTGCCGTGCCGATCTTCGGTGGAGTGTTTTTTCGTAATGTGTCCGAAACTTTGGTTTTCTTTGCGTTAAAATGCAGCCTGGCCTTTTGCTTTCTTTTATCTTTTACCTTGTTGGTTATATGGCTCGATTTGTGTTCGATTTCTGCTAGGAGGACGACGACGTCGGCGCGTGTCGAATTGTTTACTTTTAAACTTTCCGTTGTTATACTAGGTTTGTGCGGTATGATAAATATTATGTGTTTAAGTATTTTCTCTATGTGTAAGTTGAACGGCAGGGGAAGGATGCGTTTCTGCCCGATTCTTTTTCGTATTTCAAAAGGTTTTGAGGTGTCTTCTTTTATTTTGATTGAAACGGTCTGTTCCCGGTTTAGGTTTTGAATGATTCTTGTCTTTTACCGTTCGTTTCGACCTTTTTGAGAATTTTTAATGTTCTATAGAAGGTAGAATTGAAAGCTTTTGAGAGGCAATAACATTCTGCATAGAAATAAACATCTTTTGGTTTTTTGAAATAATGTTTTGCTATGGTTCTTATTTTAAAACTTGCTTCTCTAATTACACAATCCTTCAAGCCGTATTGATTATCTGATATTTCTGTGCCTAGTTTACTAGAGTTCTGGTAAAGCAAAACTTTAGTAAGATCTTAGACATATGATTATAAAGTGATAATCACCATATTCCAAAGATTGTTTTTTTTTTGGGGATTGGCAAAAGCCAGTACCAGAAATTCCTTGGAAAATACTTGCGTATGTAACTTTATCACAAAGATTTGTAAGTACGGTGGAATCTCGTCGCGTCGTTCTCGTTACCTTATTTGATCGGGAAACTAGCCCTGTACAAATAATACATTGTTTTTCCATTTCCATCGGTCTTCAAACAATGATTATATCGCATTGATCTTTAACAGATTTGGCTTGATGACTTTTTCCCACATTAATAATTTTTTTTTTTAATTTGAAATAAATAAAATGATGAAAGTAATATGCTTCTCTATGGTGCTACAATATTTTTTTATTTGAAATGGGTGTTTCTTCTGTTGAAAAATGTATAAAAAAATTGATTTTCTTTTCAAATGTGATGTTTCTCATTTTGTATTTATTTCCAAACATTTGCATTTCCATACAGCCAATTACAAAGTATATTTTGGTCACGTGACTATTTCACAGTAATAGCTGCTTTCTGAAGTGCAAGTGTTATTGTGTTTGATTGTTTTCTTAATTCTTCTTTAATAATGGCCACATTTTCTGAAGAAGTTCAAAAAGTATTTAGTCAATATGCTAGAAAGAGTAGTCCTTATTTTGTAAAAATTTTTGTAAGGAAAATCCAAAAATCAAGAAAATTACACATTATTAGTAATGCTAAGTAAACTTTCAGATATGTATAGTGTAATTTTTGAGATTACATATCCGGTGTGGGGTCACTGTTGTTTACCCATAGATAGGACCTTTGGAAGGGTGGAAAAAATGTTAAGAAAATCTGAACTGCTTCTTTTATCAGAAAACTACAATAAAATTTTTGAGCATATAAGACAAGTACATGTTCTTGGAAAAGCTGGCAACTTGGTAATGGAAACATGCAATTCATTCACACATTAAGTCAAAAATGGATTTTAAAGTATCTGAAATGAAAGTAATAACAATAAACTATAAATATGTTTGTTGCAAACAGCAATATTCTGATTATCGTATGTGCAAACACAATTTTAAAAAGAAGTAAAAAATGGTCACGTCTGTTAGTTGATTTGTTACCATTGGGAATAAATTTAAACTGGAAAATATAGATGATGTGAAGAAACTTAAATAAACTGAGAATAAGTGATGGGCATATTGCAATGACATTTTACAAAAAGTGATTGATTCTAAATAGGTACTGGGACAGAACAATTACAATATGATTTTTATTAAAAATTTTATGTAATCATTAAGTATTTTTCTTTCTTTTGGAATTAGTATAGTTCTTTAAACACTATTTTTTATCATCTTCAGTCATATGAACAAGGTTTGTATGATTTTCATTTTTGTTTTGTATCTTATTTTGTATATTCTCTTTTGTTTTTTATATAGTCGACCCCCTATAACATGGTACATACATTCCACTTTATAAGAATTTCGTGTTGTAGGAATCCTTAAATACATGAGCCAATCACAGCCTGGCACGTGTGCAGTTTACGGACTACGGCTGTTTGAAAGGTTTTCTTCCATAAAATTAATCTATTCTAGACTAATTTGACTCAACATTTCCAAAACACGTATAATTTTTTGGGAATAATCCGTATCAACTATGCTATAAACAAAAAATTGTATCATTATTATTACAGAAATCGCTTTTAGTCTTAAGTATAATTAAATTAATTAAAGTATCTATAACCATAAGGCAGATAATAGTAAGAGCTTATCACACCAATGATAATGGCACAAGCGCTCAAGAATCAAACTAAAAACATTTAATAAAACAAAAAGGGTGTACAATAAGATGATTACATAAGTTTAAAAAACCGTAAAAATCCAAAATGCATTTCGGACTATTTTCCAAAGGAAAAATAGTCCCTCATCAGTTGGTAATAGCAAGAGGTCTTAGTATACTTAAAAATTTTACAAGGTGAAAAAATATTAAATCTAAAATTGAACTTAAAACTATGCCTAAAGCTATACAATATAAAGATGAAACCATCGTCATGACTGTATGAGCAGTAAGCATTATCAATGTAGACAAGAGTAACATTTCTTCCTAACGTTGCATGGTAACGTGATGAACAGGGTGCTGATACAAAAATGTTTACTGCTCATACAGTCATGGCGATGGTTTCATCTTTATATTGTATAGATTTAGGCATAGTTTTAAGTTTTATTTTAGATTTAATATTTTTTCACCTTGTAAAGTTTTTAAGTATACTAGGACCTCTTGCTATTACCAACTGATGAGGGACTATTTTTCCTTTGGAAAATAGTTCGAAATGCATTTTGGATTTTTACGGTTTTTATACTTATGTAATCATCTTATTGTACACCCTTTTTGTTTTATTAAATGTTTTTACTTTGATTCTCGAGCACTTGTGCCATTATCATTGGTGTGATAAGCCCTTACTATTATCTGCCTT